TGAGGTCTCATTTATAAGGGAAGGGAGGACTGTTTACATTTTATTTGGCACGTCATTTACAAATGCCCCCGCAGCCGCTGAAATTGAAAACATAAATCTGGTCAACACCAAGCTAAGCATCTTCCCTCCGGCTCTCAGAAGCTGCTGAAAACGCTCAAAAGCCAATGTCAGAAGGGACACGGTTGACTGGCTAAGGCTGCCCTCAGCTGTATTGTACGATGTTTTCAGCACAAGATACTGGCCCTGTTTGTCTCGTGTGGCCTCTCTTCCTGTCCGGCCAGCTCTCAGGACACTTGTTTTACTAAGGCTGCTGCCAAAATACTATTGGTCTCCAGAGGAAGGAAGGGATGCTCGGTCGGTAAGTGTGTCTGGAGGAGCATGAAGCATGTAGTGTGCGCATCCCAGTGGCCCATTTGGTGCTTACTCAGTTTACTGTACCATTTGTAGTTCATTTCGGACGTGAGTAATTTTCTTTGAACCAGTGTTATCAATTTGCAGTCCGATTGTGATCATTTTAGGTGAGCAATTATTGCATTGATGTGATTTGCAAATTAGTGGGATGTGAATCTTAAGTAAATTAATGATTCTGATTCCTGGATTCTGGTTGCTTAAAAGTTCCTTTAACGATTCTTTTAATAGTTTAAATTTAAATTAAGACTGCAAAACTACTAATAATTCCTTTTGATTTAAATCATTTATTTTTGAATATTAATTTTTGCAGAATTTCATATTACAGACCTTAAAAAAATATTAAAGGTCTGTAAATACATTTAAATATGTTTATTAAAAGTAAATTTTACAAATAGTAACGGTTTTAATAGTAATAGTTTTAGTCTGACAGTCAAATTAAATGATTTCAGTAAGCGAGAGCACTCTGATTTTAAGTGTGTTTGGTTCACTCAAAAGAACTGCTCATAAGAATTATTCTTTCAGGAATCACTGGTTGCGCTGTGTTTTTGATTCACTCAAACTAGTTCATAAGAGTCATTTGTTTGGGAATTGAGTCACATTGGTCGTGCTGTTTATGTTTGATTAACTAAAAAGGTCCACTCATAAGAATCATTCATTCAGGAATCAGACTACACTGGTTGCGCTGTTTGTTTTTGACTCACTCAGGCTGGTTCATAAGAGTCATTTGTTTGGGAATCGAATTACACTGGTCATGCTGTTTAGTTTTGATTCACTAAAAAGAACCACTCATAAGAGTCAGTCATTCAGGAATCAGACAGGTTGTGCTTGTGTACTTATGCTTCTCTGAAAAGAACCGCTTCATAATAGACATTTGTTTGGGAATTAAATTACACTATTCTTGCTGTTTATTTTTAATTCACTTACAAGAACCGCTCATGAGAATCATTTACTCGAGAATTAAAATGCACTGGTTGCACTGTATATTTTTTATTCACTAAAATAATTGGCTCATAAAAAAGTTGACTCCTACATTCTGCTGTGAAGGTGTACATTGTTCGGATGTATTAATGAGAGAAGTATGACTCGTGTGATTCCTGGGATTGGGCGTCTAGACGTGCCAACTCTTACCCTGCTTGAAGTCCGCTGACACTTTGACTCTGTGATAGTTCTACCACTGCGTCGTTTTGATACAGCAGAGCTGCGCTTTAATCCCAGGATGTTTCCTCTGCATCTAAAACCTCATTAATCCAGTCATGGGTGTTTTATACTCCAGGCAAAGTGGAGATGATCCAGCCGCCCTCTGCCTTTGCCCTCTCTGGAGCCCAGGAGATGCACTCAGATGGTTTGTAGGCTAGAGACTCTCATTTGCCAGCTGCGTCTTAATTGATTTTGCCCTCAAACTCGGGATGAGGAGAAGAAATGGTTGCAGGCAGGTGGACTATTGGATATAGAATATGTGTGTCCATGCATGCACCCCGCTGACCCAGGTCTAATATATGTGTGGCTATGTTTATGTCTGGAAATATGCTTATGTGTGGAAAGGATGAGAGTCTGAGAGGCTTTTACAATGGAAATTGTTTTAGAGCTTAATGCTAGAGGGTCTTAAAAATTTATATTTTATTTATTTAAAACTTGCTCAAAAATGTAATCTTTATATTTCTTCTGGGTTTTCTACATTTTATTAACCACAAGTAGTACATTTTAATAGTACGTTTCTAATAGTAAAGTTTGTTTATTTATTTAAGCATTTTTAATAGATTTTATATATTTAATTATACTTATGCCAGAATAAACTTTAATAACATATAAATGCATGCATACATAAATTACTGTGTTATTAAAGCTATGTTATATCTCAAAACTAAATTCATCTCCATTTATGTTTTTTTAGTTATTAAAAGATATTTATTTAGTTCTATTCTCAGATGTTATATATTAATATTATATTGTTGGTTATTTATATATTTATTTAAAACGTGTGCTTAACTATTTAATTTAATATTTTGTTTCTATAACCACAAACTTGATTTATTTATTTGTTTGTTTGTTAACATTTTTGTATATTTTATATATTTAATTATATTTATACAAAAACTGTAATAAATATGTTTTTAAAAATTGCATACATAAATGCTATATTATATCTGAAAACTAATTTCTTCTCCATTGATGTATTTATTTTTTTGTTTTAGTTATTATGAAGTATTTACTTCATATTTGTATTCTCATATGTCACATATTAATTATATATATTATATTGTTGTGTTTATTTATTTATTTATTTAAAACATATGCTTAGATATTTAATTTAATATTTTGTTTCTGTAACCACAAACTGTACAACTTTATTTATTTATTTGTTTGTTTGTTTATGCATCTTTAGTATATTTTATATATTTATTTATATTTATACAAAAAACTGTAATAAAAGTGTAAAAATTACAAATGATATATTATAACTCAGAACAGTATTTCATGTCCATTTATGTATTTATTTTTGTTTTAGTTAGTTATTATTTTGTTTAGTTATTTAGTTATTATTCTTTATTATATTCTAATGTTTATTATATTATGTTGTTTTTAAAGTATGTATTGCATAATAAATAAATAGTTAAATAACATTTAAATAAATCTTTACATTTTTTTTTCTATGTTTTAGTTACCACAAACAGTGCAGTAAATATGTTATTTTCAGTGTTGGGAAGGTTACTTTGAAAATGTAATAGGTTACAGATTACAAGTTACCCTATTTAAAATGTAATAGTG